CTCAGCATCTATTCCCCCAAACCCTTCGCCCCTGGTAACCAACCTTCTACTCTCTGCTTTTATGAGTTCCGTTTGTTTAAATTCCGCATGTGAGATCACACAGTATTTGTCTTTCTGTGCCTGGCTTATTTCATTTAACATAATGTCCTCCAAGTTCATCCATATGGTCACAATTACAGAATTTTCTTAAGATTGAACAGTATTCTATTATGCATACAGACAACATTTTCTTTATCCATTCAGCAATCAATGAATATTTAAGTTGCTTCTCCGTATCCTGGCTATCGTAAACAATGCCGGAATAACATCCAAGTGCAGCTATCTCTTTAAGACAATTATTTTATTTCTTTTGGATATATATACCCAGAAGTGGAGTTGCTAGATCACATTGTAATTCTTTTTTTTTTTTTTTAATAAGGGAGATTTTTGCTATTGGGTACATGTGCTTGCCAGAGAGACAGAAACCAAGAAATCACCCCCCGGGGGGATGGCCACGCTGTAATCCCTTCTCCTCCATTCTCCTCTTAGGATCTTGGGCACGCACATACACGTGCACGCAACCAGCCTGTTCAAGACACCACGTCCGGGACTCAAACCGAGGTCGACTATGAGGGAGTCTAGCAACGTAACCATTATGCCACCTGCGGGTCCCCCCCCTTTTTTTTTAATTTTTGAGGACCCTCCATACTGTTTTCCATAATGGCTGCACTAGTTGATATTCTCACCAACAACGTATAAAGGTTCCCTTTGGTCACATCCTCCCCAATACTTGTTACCTGCTGTTTGGTAACAACCATTCTAATGTGTAAGGCAATATCTCCCTGTGGTTTTGATTTGCATTTCCCTGACAATTAGTGATTCTGAGCACCTTTTCATTTACCTGGTGGCCATCTGTATGTTTTCCTTGGACAGATATTTATCTAGGTCCTTTGCCATTTTTCACTTGGGTTACTTGTTTTTGTTTTGCTACTGAATTGTATGAGTTCCTTATATATTTTACCTATATCACCTTTATTGGATATATGGTTTGCAAATATTTTCTTCCATTCTGTGAGCTGCCTTTTTATTTGGTTATGCAGAAACATTAGTTTGATGTAGTCTCACTTTGTTTACTTTTGTTGCTTGTGCTTTTGGTGTAGTATCTAAAAACTCATTGCCAGAACCAATGTTATGGAGCTTCTCCCCAGGCTGCAAGACTGATCCCAAGGCTAAGGTCCACCCCTGGCCCTTAGCACAGGAGACAAGCTGCAGTTATAAGTCCCAGTAAAACTCCTTTTCTTCCAGGAGTTTTACAGTTCTAGGTCTTACTTGCTTCACTGGCTCCTCTCAAATGAGTTTGCCTTTGCGGCAGGAGATGAGAAGTGTCTCAGTGTCCATGCCAGGACAGAGTAAGTAAGTAACAGCCTTCTCATGGAGGGAGACGGTGTGCTCCCTGCATGCATGGACTGGCTTCCGAGCTTAGATGAGAAGGAAATGACCTGGGGAAGGAGCAGCCACATTCTTCACCGCTAACCGATTTAGCCACATGGTGGGAAAGTAGTAGCCCTGTTTAACGCACTTGGAGAAAAGGTCTGAGAGGAAATGCTAAATGGACACAGAAGCCCCATGGTTCAGTTCTATTGGGTCACTGGAAAAATCGTGACATAATTTTTCCATGTCTTTCTGACTTTCTTTTTCTTTCCTTCCTTTTTTTTCCTTTCCTCTCTCCTTCCCTTCCTCTTCCTTCCTTCCTTCCTTAATAGACCATAGTTTAGTTTATTTTTAATACCCATAATGCCATGGATTCGTAGGAACTAAGTTCCAGAAGCTCAGGCTCCTTTCCATTGGCTCTCACAAAGTGTGCTTCTCTGGGTGGGGCAGGCTGGCACTTCAGCTGAACCCAGGTACCTTTCTCTTTGGCTTCCTTCTTTTCCTCATTTTCCTTCACATTTCAAAAAAATAATTATTTCTGTTATTTTATTTATCATTATTCTTATTTTTAATTTGACCAGAGTGAGACTCAGAGAGGGAGAAAGTGAGAAAGCAAGTCACCAGTCCAGGACTTGAACTATAGTCAGTCATGTGGGAGTCCAGCACCCCTTATCCCCCACTCCATCTGCTGGTCCCCTTCCCATGTTTTAGGAAGCTGTCTCTGCTCTTAGAATGCTTAACATGCTCAATATGCACATTAATTCTCTTGCCAAGAATCTTGCCCTTAACTTGTTTGTTTACAACAATGCCAACAGCATGCTGGGTAACATTTTAGTCTCTTCCAGTTTTGCCATGGTAACGTTTGTGAGGCATTCATTTTGAACAGCACCCATTCCCTTCCCTTGATGTCTACAAGATCGCCTTTCTTGTAGATTCCCATGTATGTTGCCAGAGGAACCACTCCATGTTTTCTAGAAGGCCTAGAGAGCATATATCAGGTGCTCTCCTTTTCCCCTTTGTATTCGTCATTTTGGTGAATTACTGGAAGGTGGTGATTCTAGACAAAAGGAAGTCTATGTTTTTCTATGCAAAAATGCATCATGACTTTTTTGATGACCCAAAAGATCATGTTTTAAGTAGCTCAGAAGTCTGCACAGAATTTTCCAGACTTGTGAGAGACTGGAAGAGCTGTTTCTTGATTCCTCTGTGGCCCCGTACGGTCTGAAAGGCGTATGGAGGAGCACCAGCAGAACGTCAAGTCCTCTGCACAGGGGTCAGAGCACCGGCATCTCTGACTAGGAGTCTAGAGCCTCCAGGTCTTTTGCTTCTTCCCATTGTGTCACCATAAGTAATGAGTGTCACTGCTCTAAGCCTCAGCTTTCTCATTTCAAGAATGGGGATAGCAAGAGGTCTTCAAAATTTCACGGAAAATGTGTTCCCTGAAAAGAACTATGCTTGGATTGCAAATTTTTTTTGCACCAAAATAAGCTCGTACTTTCCATTTTTCACGAACTTTATGCCATCCCCTTACATATCTGGCCTTTGGTCGGGGTTTGCACTCTCCTCTTGGTAGGCTGACCACTCTGGGCTGTAGCGGAAGAGGGCTGCAAGACTGATCCCAAGGCTAAGGCCTCCTCCTGGACCTTATGGCAGGAGACAAGCTGCAGCTGTAAGTCCCAGTATCCTCTTGAGGCAAACAAGTTAGAGAGATTTCCCTGGAGGCCCCAATAGACATACAAAATATCCACAGTGATACTGAGAAAAGTCGTACTTACTATTCCACTTAAGAGATGAGACGGCCGATGCTCATAGGCACGAGGTGACTTGTCCTAGACCTCCTGTACCCTCTGCTTTACACCAGCCGCCACTACCAACCCATCACCATCTCCCCTTCCCTCTCCAACGGGACTATCTGCTCTCAGGCTTTGGGCTCGGTCCTCTGCCCTCTTAAAAGTCCAAGGTAAAAAGCATCAAAGGCACTGAGAAAAGAGATGAGGAGAGTAGGCTGGGGACAGTACTGACCTCCGTGTAGGCCACTACCTAAACTAAGTTAGAGGGTCTCCTTCCTAAGCCTGACTCACAACTCTCTCCTGCTTAAAGCCCTCAGGGACTTTCCACCCAGAGCACAAGGATAGACTCAGCTCCAGTAGGAGCCCTGCCCCCACCCTGAGTGCAGCCCACAGGATAGACTCAGCTCCAGTAGGAGCCCTGCCCCCACCCTGAGTGCAGCCCACAGAACTTCTTCCCATTCTTCAGGAGCAATGCACCCTCTCTAACCTCCTGGCCTTCACTGTGCGGGTCTCGGGACCTGGCAGCCTCTTCTTGCTCATCCTTCTCCTGGTCATTTCCTGAACAACTTCCGAGCCTCAGTACCCTCCACCCACCAGCCCTCTATTGTAGACAAGTACTCTCTGTCTACTGACAATCAGCCTATGAGCTTCCTGAGTGCAAAAGCTGTGTTTGTTACTTCTGCTCTAGTATCCAGCATCTGGCTGATAGAGACACTCCATAAATACTTCCTGAATACACGTATGACAAAGAGAACTTTTCTCAGCCGAGGCAGGAGTCTAGACTGAGCTGCACCAGACATACCATGTGTGCTGAAGTCAGAGAAAATAAATCCCTCTCCTTCTTCAGGAGGCTGCCATTCCTCAAGCAGTCCCTTGTTTATGGACAGAAGTACAGTGGATCCAGCAAGCTCTTCAGAGAGAAGAGCTCGTCCGCAGACTCTTTAGCATCCCTGAGAAAATTCTAGCTATGGGAAAGCCCCAGGTGGGTGTGGGCGAACCTGGCACATGTGCCCTTCGATTCTCATACCCTTAACAACCACATCCATGGATGCTCGAGGGAACACAATCTCCATGGACACCGTCCTCCTAATTTCACAATGCAGAGAGGCTTACCAGATTTGTGGCTAATAATAGCACTTTAGGTAAAAAGCCAATTATGATGTTACCATGGATTTAAAATGATTAATTTATGCCAGAAACACTTAGATACCCTAAAACTGCGAACATGGACTCAAGGTGGTCATACTCCCAGGCAGGTTACTCAGGCTCTGTGGACAGCAATCTGTTTCCGCCAGGAAGGGAACTGCATCATCCCTCCTTGCCAGACACAGGGGCCCTGCTCGTGTCTTCAGGCTGGGTTTTACTTGCTTTTGCTCCTCTATCACAGCATTAAAATAGAAATTCCTATAAAGGGCCCTGGTCTTTGTGAAAATAGAGACACACTTGGTGGATGGACAGGGAAGTTGGTGTTGTGCCCAAAGTTGCCAATGACTCCTGTGTATGAGTCCATCTGCTTCACTGTACGGCTGGGAAAACCATATTCTCCTTTAAGCCACCAGAGGTAAATCGTGTTTCTGATGCTATAAAGAAATTGCCTGAAAATGGAATCAGGACTGTGAAATTGCAGCGTGCTATTACATAACTTTGAAAAGAGCCATCCTGCCTTTTCTTCATGGGGCCAAAATTCCTCTCCAGTTTCATTTGGAACCTATTTATTTTCTTTCTTCCAACAGAAATAAAGGTATTTAGGCAAAAACTGAGATGCTAGGGCAGAGTGGTATGATCGCTGTGACTACCCACCTGGTTTAATTTCTTTTTCCTGCTTGCATCTCTTCAGACTTTCCACTGTTGACTAGCAGTGTAGAGATGCTAAAGAACCAGAAGAAAAACAGAAATTAGCGAGGACATACTCTGAGGTGGTAAAATGAAACATCTTTTGGGAGGACAAGTTAATGATATCTATTAAAGTAGCAAATGTGCACAGCCTTTGGGTCAGCCAAATATCCAGGGATTTGTAGATACAGATATCAATTGTTTATGACGTTTATGACTATAGATATAATCATACCAGTAAAAGGCTATTCAGTGAAACATTTTCTATACAGGCAAAAAAAGAAGGGGAAATAACTGACATAATCTCTTAGTAAGAGAATCCAATTATGTGCATCAATACAATGAAACTATACAGTTACTTCAACGAATGAGGGAGATTCCAATGTACTGACATAGAAAAAAAAGTATAAGTTCAATAAACAAAAAGTATACAATAAAATTGCATGCATTACCACTTTTTAATAAAAAATACAAACCTCATTGCTTATGTTTAGAAAAAAGAATAGCATCTGTAGTAAACATAGACAAATACACACACTTCCGGTAGTTTACATACTTTAACATTTTTAAAGTATGCACACAACAGTAAACTATAAGCAATGGCTCTCCCTAAGTCTCAGAGACATTGTGAGAAATGAAAAACTGTCACTTGCATGTTACTTTTCTCCCTCTTTTGGTTAAAACTTTTAATATGTGTAACTTTTAGCATATGTAACATTTATACTCATTATACAACTTATCTATGTAAAAATTCTATTATCAGTTAAAATGTCAAGACTTAAGGGCAGGGAACCAGCAGCTAGTGTAATGGCTATGTCGCTGGACTCCCACATAGTCGACTGTGGTTTGCGTCCCGGACCCGGTGGCTTAAACTCATGCCGGGCACGTGTGCGTGCGTGCCCAAGATCCCAAGAGGAGAATGGAGGAGAAAGGATTGCAGCGTGACCATCCCCTCTGGGGGGTGATTTCTCACTTTCTGTCTCTCTGTCTCTCTCTGTCTGTCTGGTGAGTGCACACCCCCTTTAGCGAAAACCTCTCCAAAAAAAAAAAAAAAAAGAAAGAAAGAAAAAGACTTAAGGGCAAAAGATATTTTCAGAGATTGAGCAAGTTTATTATTCACAGACCCCAGGAACTTTCTCCAATGGAAAAGAAACTGAACAGATAAATAAATAAAATTTTAGAATCAACAGCAAGCAAAGAAATGAGTCAACATATTGGTAATTATTATTTTTTAAAATTTGCCAGAGGATGCTTGTGCACACACAGGTGGAGGGAGACAGAGACAAAGAAAGTGAGAAAGTACCCCTTCCGGGACATGGTCATACTCGTCAATTTCTCCCCTCTTTCAGGTTTTTGGCTACACCTGCACACATGCCTGGTGTTTTCAAAGCTGCCAGGTCTGGGACTCAAACCATGTGGTTAGTCATATGGGATCCAGTCACCTTAACCATCAGGCCATGGGCTGGCCTTCATATTAGTAAAATTTTAAAGAAGTCCTGGATTGAATAAGACAAAGCAAATGAGAGATCAAAACACATCTGATAATATTAAATATTTGATAACTGAGAACACTGAGGATAGAAGAAAGATCAGAGTTAAAACCTGTAAGTTCATTGATTATTCAGGACAAACAGAAATACAGTTTTATTTTAGACAATATTTTCATAAAGCATGTTAAAAAAATTTTTTTTGAGAGGTTTTTGCTATAGGGTGCATGTGCTCGCCAGAAAGACAGAGAGAGAGACAGAAAGCGAGAAATCACCCCCCAGGGGGGATGGCCACGCCACAATCCCTTCTCCTCCATTCTCCTCTCGGGATCTTGGGCACACACGCACATGCTCCCGGAGTTAGTTTAAGTCACCAGGTCCGGGACTCAAACCGTGGTCAACTACATGGGAGTCCAACGACATAGCCATTACACTAACTGCTGATCCCAGCATGTTAAAATTTAAAAGTAGAAACAAGAGAAAGTAGAATTAGGGTGCTTCATGAATGCCAAACTATGAATAGTTACCATGTTCTTGGGTAGGCAAGCCTAATGATCAAAATGTGTCCATCTTCTCAAATTACTATATAATTTTAATTAAATTTCAGTAAGAATAGCAATAATTTTGTTGGAGGGAGAAATGGATAAATCACTCTAAAGTTCAAATGGAATAATAGCTATCCACAAAAACTGGCCAAGAAAATTCTAAAAAATAGTTACGGTTTCTTTTTTGTTGTTATTGAGGTCATTAAAATGTACTATAGACATCATAATAAAAAGATATGGTATAAACATAGGAATAGACAAATAAGTTTGTGGACTAGAATAGCAAGTCCAGAAATAGATACAAGTAAATAAATGAACTTATTCATGAGAAATAGGGGATTTCAATACCAAAAAGAAAAACATGGTTTGTTGAAGGAATGGTGCTGTCCCAGGCGGGTGGTGCAGGCAGAAACACACTGAACTGCAGGGCTGGAAGCCACATGGCCTAAGCAGGGTCAGACTCTAAGACTGCCTGAAAACGTGGCTGGCCTGTGCAAGTGAACCCACAATCCTAACTGGGCTGGAAGGCTGGAGAAAGGGGATCACAGTGTGACCAGACTGTCAGGGGAGTCTCTGTCTCTTTCATGCGATCATCAATAAAACACATAAACATCTTTTAAAAGAAGAAATGGCGCGGGCGTATCTAGAACAAAGCTAGACCACAACCTCTTACTATATACAAATATAAATTCCAAAGGGATTAAAGGTTCTGAATGAAATTAAAACAAGAAAACTATGGGAAGAATATTTACATAATGTTGAGGGTAAGAAAATTATTCCTAAACAAGGCAAGAAGTTCAGAGACTGAAGAAAAAATTAAAAGTAAATATATTTTAGAATAAAAAATAAACAAATGAGAGATTATGAAAATATCCTCAGCACATATGCAATCCTCAATTGATAAATAAAAGATAAAAAGAATTTCTAGAAGTTGCTGAGTAAAAAAGCAACCAACTCTTGAGGAAGTTAAGTGAATGGAATTCAGGAAACAGGGCAGTAAAATGGACAATGAAAATGAAACGTTAAGTTACTAGTAGTCAGGAATATACAAAGTAAGCAACTATAAGACACTGGCTACCTGATTAAACTTGACCACAAAATAAAGCAACAGAGACAGAGAGAAAGGAGAGAAAATGGAAGAAGGGAGAGAAGACCTAACGCTGGGAAGGATTAGGGAACTGCAAGTACTCACGCACTGCTGGGAAGAAGGTCCCCGTGACTCTCGGTGAAGTAGGGTGCTATCAGCTAGTACCTGTTAACGCCAGACCTAGGCTCAGGGGCGCAGCAGTGCTAGGTCCCATGTGGAAAACTGTGCCTCCCCGGCCAACTCGCACACACTGGGCTGGGCAGGCGCACCCACGACCCTGGCTGGCTGAGAAGGCTGGGGCAATCACAGTATGAGACCCGTTGGGAATACTTCTCTCTCTCTCCCTTTGTCTCTCACTTTGATGAAAGGAATATAAACTTAAAAAAAAAAAAAATGTTAACAGGGACAGAGATGAAAGGAATATAAACTTAAAAAAAAAAAAGTTAACAGGGGCAGTCCTGTGACCTAATTGTTAAGGGAGTCAGATTCTATATGGCCAACCATGTGATACAAGGCTTGGCTCCAGTGGCTTAAAAGGCATGCCGTGCGTATGTGGGTATGTGGGTGTGTGCCCCGGATCCAGACAGAATAAAGAAATGGAGAAGAAAGGACTGTGGTCTGACGAGGTTCTACTGAGGGTTTTTTTTTCTTCCTCTCTGGCAGGCATGCCTGCCTCCAGCAATTAAAGAAAGAAAAAAACAAACAACATAGAAACAAACATATCAGCAGAGAAACACTGGCAGACTAGTTACACATTACCCATTTATCGTTACATGGACTGGATAAACTGCCTTTATTGTCATTTCCTTTTGTGATCAAAATAGAAGACTGTCCAACCTACTGTTTTAACAGTTGAAAACTAGGGAACCAGCAGTTAGCGTAATGGCTATGTTGCTGGACCCCCATATAGTCAACTGCGGTTCGAGTCTCGGACCCGATGGCTTGAACATGCTGGGCATGTGTGTGTGCGTACCCAAGATCCCGAGAGGAGAATGGAGGAGAAGGGATTGTAGTGTGGCCATCCCCCCTGGGGGGTGATTTCTTGCTTTCTGTCTCTCTGTCTCTGTCTTTCTGGCAAGCACCTGTGCCCTATAGCAAAAATCTCTCAAAAAAGGGGGGGAGGGGAGTACACACTATTTCCTAAGCATTTATGGCTTTACTTTCAAAAGGAGGAGGAAAAATATTTAAAAGAGAATAGCAGTTTACCCCTTGAAAATTCAAAAGACAGCCAAAAAGCTTCTGCTTGAAACTGCCCTGTTTTTAGCAGTGTGTGGGCTGGTTCTGCTGGTTCACTGCTTTCCAAGGCTCGGTGCCCTCCTCCACCCCAACCCAACAGCTCCCGGGAAGGCCCTCCAGGGAGCCCTGCAACCACAGCATCTTTGCCCACAGGTCTCTCTGGGTCTCCAGCAGATGCTTTGTCCTCTGTATCACGTGGCGCCAGGAATCCAGAAAAGTAAAATGGGGGTGTTGGCAAATCATGCTGATGGGAGAAGGAAGGAAAAGAAACGAAGTACTGGCAAAGACGAACTGCATGCACAAGCTCCTGGCCATGTTTCGAATCTGCTCTTTCAAAGCTACCTGAAAGGTACTCTCCACTTTCCCCAGGGGGGCTGCTGTGCTTTTAACATTTATTTTGCTTTCTTACAGTAGTAATAAGAGTTTCATTCAAATAACAGTGCCTCACGTTTCTACAGGACTTCATATTTAGCGAGGCATATTTTACGCAGCCTCCCGACTCGGCTCCACTCCAGCCCTCCCATCCACTGTCTACACAGCAGTCAACCTGCATCCTCAGGCCTCAGCCTAATTTTCCTGTCTCCAAACCCTGATTTCCAGCCCTCTCTCCTCCCTCTCCCTCGGTGCCTCAGCCATGCTGTCCTTGAGGCCTTTCACATGTGGACCTGTCCCTGCCAGGAT